ATTTAAAGTAGTCATTAAAGATGAATTGACAACCAAAAATGGGCCAATAAACCCCCCACTATTTCAGTGATAATGTGAAGTAGCCACAAATTAAACAATTGCAACTCAATATGCAAAATGACACCTATTATAAAGGCCGGCAGTGTAGACTGTAGCTAACAAAGTAAGACAACATTAATTCAATTCAGATTTCTGCTACCATACTTGTAAAATGCATTCCTTTGCAGTTAATTTAAAATACATGACAGGGGCGAATTTGTTTTGTCAGCATTTTTTGCATAATCAACAGATCAGAAATAAATCAAAGAGAAAAATTGGATCAAGTCATATTTTAATGTATAAACTCATGATTCATCTTTCTACCTACATTTTCTTTAGCACCAGTGCTAACACACACACACGCACAAAGGTGTGGTAGAGTATCGCTGTCAAAGTGTGTCACAGTGTGTAACCTGTTTGAAATGAGGGAAATCTGTGAATGGTCAAATTCACAACTTTAATTTTCTTCTGATACTGACTTATTTAGATGAGGGTGCAAATAATGTGACTTTAACACCCTGAGCAGTCACTGCAGCTACATCACAGCAGACCTTGCCTTTAAATGATCTAAAATACTTCCTTTCCTTCTAACCTTTCCATTTAATTGAATTTTAACTCAACATACTTTAGTAAACTTACAGTATTTACATACAGTATCTTGTAAGCAGAATCACAGTCAAATAGAGTACCATACAATACTCAAATAATAAATTATGTAATGTGCATCTGTGTTTTAGGTCAGGGAGGAAAGTCAAGAAAAAGTTGCCAAGCAAGGAATATCCGCATAACATCACATTTTTTTGCTGATCCAAACACAGTTGACTGCTGAGTAGTGCTTTCACCTCATCACAGTTTAAATACCCACATGAAAATACTGTAGTTTATAAATCTTTACCTTTTCATTTTAATGCATATGTGTTGCATTGTTATAACACTTAATGGCTCTGAAAGTCAGTTTGTGTCACACAAAAATATATTTATTTACTGAATGTCTAAAATATTTGGGACATCTCCCTGGTGTTGGCTTCCTGCTTCTTCATCCATATTCTCCATTTAAATTGTCTCAGACCTTACATCCCCAAAACACTGGAAGTAAATAATAAAATATAGTTTTTCGTTGCATCAAAAACTTAAATTCGTTGAAAAACCTTTGACCAACTGTAAACAAGCTGTAAAGACATGTTTTATTTTTTAATGCTATGGCAACCACAACTAAAATTCACTTGGGGTTGGGGTGCAAAAGTCTAACACACACAATATGTTAGGTAGTGGAAAATTAGTAGTGTAGTGTGTTTTTGTGGTTTGGGTGAACTGAAAGATGCTTCACTAACTTGTATACCTTCATATATTATTTTAAATTTTAAATAGATTTATTACGGGGCATCAGTAACAAGTTTTGGACCAGGATCCATCGCATTCCTTCGCTTCATGAAAACGTCCTAGTAGTAGTTTGTACATTCAGCTGTATGTACAGGGTCAGTGTGTGTTACAGAGTAGTCTGATATGAAGATGAGCCTTCCTCTGAGCTGCTGTGCAATAGAGGCTGCCTCTCTCCGTAGCTCGATGCCCTCTTCCTCCTCTGGTTGCGCTTCCACTTCCTTCTTGCAACAACTAACAGTGCAGCAATGATTGTGGCGATCAACGCCCCGAGGATCCCGGCTCCCAGGAGCCACTGCCAGATCTGCTGGGCCTGCTGGAGGTAGGGTGTCAGGAACTCCTGAACGAACCTCTGGCCTGTAGTGGAGATACACAGGATGGGACAGATTGAGATAAAGGAAAAGCTGTAGAATCACTAAGTTAATAGACATGTTTGTTTTTCCTGTACTGACCAGGGTCCAACAGGTAGGCATACTCAAATCCTAGAGCCTTGTTGGATAGGAAGTAGTCTCCATTTCTATAGAGAGGCAGGAAGGGCACCATGTAGTACCCATCATTGTGGCCAATGGGGGCATTGGCACGTGGGTAGCTGGTCCGGAGAGGCTGGTGGGTCCTGAGCCAGCGCTCAAAGATACTGGAGAAGAGAAGGAACAGAGAAATTATAACGGTGGAACAAAGGAGATAGACAAATAGATATAGGAAGAAGCAGAAAGAGAAAAATATTAATTAAGTAAGGTGGAAATCTTCACCATCACCAGCATAAGCATAAAAATAAAACACAAACATCAGCAGAAAACTTTTCACTTGTAACTTAAAAAAAGCTAAAAAATTGTGTTTGTGTGTATTATCACACCTGTCAATGAAAGCATGGTGCAGCAGGAATATGGGGTCGTTGGCTGAACCCTGCACTGAGGACATGGAGCCGTTCATAAAGAGGTGCAAGGCGTTGTGCATGGTGCTCTGGCCTGCCATTGCCATACCTGTCTCTGGACTGGCAAAACCTGCAAGAGGGAAGAAAAGTGAAAACATGCACATGAGAATAGAGAGGGATAGATATGTATATGAGGGAGGGAGATGAGTATGAGAGACTGAGAGGTATTTGTGTTACTTCTCTTAATAGGGACTCTGTTGACTTAAGGTGGCACTTTGACAGAGTTGAATAGGTTTAATGTAGTTACTGCAAGTGCTTCAAGTTGCTATTGCAATAATGATTTCTAGAACACTGACAAGGAAGGGACTCATTGAGCTTAAGACTAGCTGAGAGCCAATGACTGGAAGAAGCAGTGGTTTATAGCAGAATTGACTCTTTTTGAGTGATGCTCATGGAAAATGCTTCAAAGTATGGCTATGAGTTATACAAGAAAAATATTAAACTCAAGCAACATGATATTGCTCAAATAAAACACTCTATAAACCAGAAAAAATGTAAAATGTAATTACTCAGTCAAAATATAAATTGTAATGTTTTAGTAAGATGCATGGTTTGAGCATCTGTGTTATGGGTGCTGCTTGTGTTTCAGTCAGTGTCTCACTAATAATACTGTAGGTTTACATTAAGTCTGTATGTGTGCATGCTTCTCTTTGAATGTATTCATACAGACAGATGTAATTGTAAATCCTACCACTGTATGGAACCAAATGGGCCAAAACTCATTAACTAGATCATACAGATTAGGATAGGATTAGGTTCAGATTTAATGGATAAGCATTTACAGTAATACAAATGTGTGTGTGTGTGTACCACTCATACCCTCTATGGCGTTTCTAAAGCTCAAGTTGGAGAATCGGTCCATGGGTTGCGTCTCGTACTCTGGGAGGCCCACAACGAAATCCACATCACCTGTTGTAGGGAGTCGCGTCACCCGGTTTGGATCATGGTTGCCAGGGTTACGCAACAGTGGACCCTCCGCGGTAGCGTTACACAATGCCTCTCGATTGTTGTACTCCTCTGGCTGGGTGCAGATCACCTACATACACACACACACACACATACAAACACACACTGTGGTCACAGAGCCTATAGACCTCTATAAAACTATATCCATCATTATGGGTTTAGTAAAATTGTTCTCAATGTTTACTTCTATTGACTGTGAATGTAAACAACATAATATAGGTATAGGTACAGGAATATGTGTTACTTTATTTGGAGTGTAAGCAGGGATAAATATTAGTTTAGACTCTAAATGATGTTAAACCCAGTAAGCGAAGGCGATTCTTAGTTGAAGTACAAACTATTATAAGATTTCTCTAAATAACTCAGAAATAAGTTGCTGTCTAGATACATTTTCTAGGATGTGGAGCCTCTGAAGTAGGATTTTTACTCTCATCTTTAATTTCTCTCATTTCATTGGATTAAGAGACTAAACCAGCTTTAGAACAACAGAGTGAAATGGAAATAAAACAAGCCTTTGTTTGTTTGTCGTGGAAAGGAATTTTTAGTCTCTTAATGGATAAGAGAGATTTGCTCATACATCTACACACACTCAAACATGCAAGCTTTCACACACAGACAGACACTCAAAGTTAGAGAGAGACAAATAAAATGTTCTTACCTTCCATGAGGCGAAGACTGAAGCAGGGCTGATGAGGTTAGGATTGAAGGGGCTGCGTCCTCCCATTAGAGCATCGGTGCACACATCACAGGACTGGGCATTCCTCCAGTCCCAGTATGGGATGGTGAAGTTGAAATCTCCCGTCAGCTTCCTTATCTCGTTCTCCCAGTGAAGCAGGTAGACCCGATGCCATGGCAGAAATGCTGCAGATTCATGGGCAAAGTCGATGTCTCTCCATACATTCCCCGGTCCTCCCAAGAAGGTGTCCCGGGACACATAGTAGTGCATCCAGACAAACAGGTCGTAGGTGTTGATATCAGAGAACATGGGATTCTCACCATTTTCACCCATCTCTGCTCTTGTTGCTGTGGAGATGACATAGTCACGGCTGACAGTGTTCTTGGCCAGGTTCAGATAAGAGATAAACTTCTGTTGTTCAGCAGCCGACATGGTCAGGATGTTCCTCCGCACTGATTCCCTGTACTCGGCACAGTTTGAACCCCAGTAACCAAACCTGCATTCACCACAGTTAAAACCTCCGTAGTTTCCAGCACAATGACATGTCCGGTTGAAGAAAGCCAAGGGCCAACGCTCTCTGTCATCAATCCCACTGTGTGGGTACTGGGGCCCATGGGGCTCATCTGAGACCTCCACCTCAGTGCAAAAACCACGGCCTGACAGCGCACCGCAGGCTGAGCCGTCACCATCCCACACCGGGCAACACTCTTTGGTCCGTAGTCCTTCTGAGTTGGCACATGGGCGAGGGAATTGACATAAGCAAGTCCCAGTGAGCAGCAGCAAAATTACAGATACATACAGGCTCCTCATGATGAAAAGTCAAAGCAACTCCAGGCTTGACCTCAGTGAGAATTTAAACTTCTGCTGGAAAGATGGACACAACAAAACCTTATGCCCTCACACACTCAGCAGCACAGAGGAGTAGATTCACTGCCAAAGAGTTACTTCTTGATAGCTACAAGCAGAGAAACACAGGATTGTTAATCTAGAGATGGCTTCTGTGGTAGATTGAGAGAGTAAATAAAAAACTACACACTCTTCAGGTACCTGTATTTATACAAGCAACCACTTACTAACTTACTTTTGCAGGTTCAAGTTGTTACCCCTCTATGCCACTACCTAACCCTCTACCAAACCTCCTTCTACCTCTCTCTCAGACCCAGACTCAAGTCTCCTGTTCTCTCCCTACTCATTGAGCTGTTTCAGGGGCCGTCCTCTGACAAAGTGTGTGATCTCATTGTGATCTTACGCACTCAGTAAAGCACACACACACACACACACACACACATAAAAGCATGTGCACTCACACACCATCACATGCTCAGGATAATATTCCTGATTCCCCCTTGATTTTGTCTTGAGACCAGCTGACCTCCGCTCCACTATACCTCAGGCAGAAATGGGTGTGTGTGTGTGTGAGCACTACCCCCCTCCCCCTTGGCAAAGTCTGGCCTTTTGAATTGATGCATGATCGTAACAAAATAAGTGAGAGATGCAAAAGAAACAGAAGATAAGAAGGTGGAAAATTGATATTACATAGTATAGTCTTGTGCCACAATGACTTCAAGGTTGAATCAAGTGCTCATGAGTGTGTATTCAGTGTATTCAGTGTATTCAGTAAGTCCACCCAATTTGGCTTTGCCTTTACGCTGCAGGAAGGGTGGGGGAAATCACCTGATTGGGGTGCTAACAGCAGGCATTACACTGTGTTGTGTGAATCTGGTTGTTAAGGATTTTTAGGATAAATAATAGTTTTATTAATAGTACTATTTCAGTTAAGAAGGACAATCCCACCTTTTCATATAAGATGAAAAAGTGAGTGAAGAATGTATCCTGTGATAAATCTGAAGTGCAGTACACTGTGACAAACAGCATCAAGAGGCTTCAAGGTGGAGGAGAGGCATGCATATACATAATTCATCATAATCAAGAGACATAATTGTAGATTGTACAAGGCATGATGGAGTTAGGGCATGGGCCAATGTGTGTTTGAATACACAAATATAATTTTGACCTTCATCTTAGTCTTCTCAGTCTTAAAAGTGAGTCTAGTATCTAACCAGATTCTCAAATATTTATAACACTCTACAACAATTTAAGAACCCTAAAGAGTATGGATAGGGACAGTAGGCTGGATACTCTTAACTGACCTTGTGAATAGCTTGCAGAGATGATATTATTTATGTATAATGTGTATAAAAGAGGACTAAGAATAGACCCTTGTGAGACTCTTCAAGAGCATTTGATTTGGAACTAGAGGATACTATAGCATTGAAGGGCATCCAGTCTTGTATTTGTGATGAAGTAAAAGAAATGAAAGGAAAAACATATTCATTAGCATGTTCAATTGTCTGTTGCAATATTTAAGTATTTTTATGACATATATTTACACATACATAACTGATATTCATATTACTACTACTACAACTACTTCTAATATTATGACATGTTTTATGAAGTTGCTTTGTTATTAACACATGCATCTGCATATAATAAACTTGTTTCAACTATGTATTGTATGTATTATCACCCTATATTCTTAACTCCCCTGCATTTAATGGACTGTAGGACATCATGTCCTATCAATAATAGTTTTTCTTGTAAAATATTATTATCAACATAATCCAATAATTTAAAAAGGGCAATACAAAGTGCACCACAGTGTTAATTATTGCCCAGGGCATTAACAATATCTGACAATTCTTGGAAATATCAGTTTGAAAAAGACAGCACAAATTGAGACATTGTTATTTACATTATGTAACATTTACAGCACAAAAGTTTAATTCTATTTGATAAAAAGGGAACATGCTATAATTTCTTTTCCCTTGAAGCGAAGGCACGTCTCCCTTCCCTCAGACCAACTCTGTTAGCATATTCACTTGATTTAGGACTTTACATGTTGTGCATAGTGATAATGTACGTTTCAATCCCATTTCATTCAGAATCAGAAATCAGAATCAGAAATACTTT